AGTCGACCTGAGAATCAAGAAGAGATGGCTGGAAACTGGTTTTAAGGAGCCTCGGGATCCTCCCGCCCCCTGGAACCCCTGAGCTCCCCGCGCCCCTGCCGCCCACCGGACCCCCAGCCCGCAGTTGGCAGCGGGACGCGGTGATCCGAGCCGCCAGTAGAGGGCACACTTACTTTACTTTCGCAAACTAAAGCGCGAGAGCAGCCAGGGGAGGGGGCTGGGGAAAGAGGCTTTGCGGCAAAACCAGGACCAGGGATTGGTCGCTCCGCGCGTTAGCGGCAAAGGACTGGAGACCAGGGTAACGAGGAACCCTTAAAGCTGAATCGTGCTGAGGAAGTTGCTACTCTCTTAACAATCGAAGGCAGAGCGGCAAACTCTGCGGGTAATAATCTACCTTGAACTAAGCGCGCTATACACGCGCCCCCCTCTAGTTTTCTTGTTTTGGAGTGGGGGGGCGGGTGGGAAGTGGGAGATGGAAAATTTACTTAAAATGCCTTTGGGTGAGGGTCCAGGGATGGGAAGATGGGTTTTGTTTTTAACGCCCTAGTATAATGTAAAATCGCAAATCCTGCGGGAATATGCGTTCAATGTTAAATATAGATTCATTCAGGGAGCGAACAAATCATGTGTCGTGTCGGGCAACAAATTGGGTGGACGTGTACATTAAGTCCATACAGATGTACACGGATTATTCATACACGCAGTTTCACTATGGCATTTTTAGTTGGCTCAAGACCACCCCCCCACACACCAAAAAAAAAAAAAAAACTCGGAAGTAATACTTGGCTCCTCTGCTTTGATCAGAATCTATGCTTTTTTTGGTGGGGGGGAGGGTGCTTGATCACAATTCCAATAATAAAGGGGAAAAAACAGTATTTGAGATCTTGCTTCCAGGCAATGGTCAGTTTGGGCTCAAATAAACTGTTATAAAATTTCCAAAAAAAAATAAAATAAAAAGGTAAAGGAAGACCCGGAAAGGAAGTTAAACCTCGGGTTTGTCCGAGGAAAGAGTTAACGGTTTTCTTCACAGGAGGAGGGGGTGGTCTCTGCTGACTCCTGGAGCTGGGTCCTCAAGCTCACCCTCCCCCCGCTTCTGGGAAGTCCAGTCCCGAGGGTCGCGTCCTCCTCCCCAGTATTCTCTCGCCTAGTGCCTTCGATTTCCCCCAAACCTGGGAGCCCCGGACTGGTGCAAACCGGCTACACAGTGCGCAAATAGGATTTTCCTGAAACCTGGCTGCGGAATTGGAACTCCCAAGAGAGAGGCACAGGGATGCAGTGGGGCCACAGGCCCGCAGAAAGCGGGCGGGTAAGGTCCCTCGTAGCGTGCACCCACAAGCGGGCTCCAGCCTTGCTCCAGTTCCGGAACGCAGAACGATCCCAGAGATTAACGCGTCCTGGGACACAGCCGGCTCCCGCCGAGTCCGGCATAGGTCTGCGCGGGCGGGGCTGGGGGTGTCTGCTGCCTTGGCAGCCAGCTGGGGAATTCATTCTGGGTGGAAGGTGCCCAATCGATAGCTGTACGCACATAATGCATAACACCCCCTCGACAAATGCAGTGAGTGTTTACTCATAAGGCGCTCTCCAAGTATACGTGGCGATGCGTTGCCGAGTTATTTTAATAACTCTAGACATCCTTTTCCTCCCTCTACCTATCATTTAATGCCATCTACACTAACACCCCACACATACACACTCAGAGCGCTCTCCAAAAAATACCCTTTCTTTCCTCCTCTCTTCCTAAGACTTATTTTCCGAACACTGCCCTTTCCCCAGCCTTAGGGAGGCGCCCGGCCGCCCGGGACGTGCAAGGCGCGGCCGTAGTACGCGGTGTATTCTCGGCGTTGGCTCAGCTGTTCCGCCTGCGATGATTTAAGCACGCAGGACAAGTATGCGGTCTGTCAAACAGTGCTGCGCCAGAGGAACAGCAAAGAAAGGAACAGGATCTGAGCAGGAGCAGAAGAAAATGGTAGATGTTGGCAGTTAATTCACGCTGCGCTATTTACATCCGATTGCTCCGCGCACCCGTGCCAGGCTCAGAGGCTGAGTCTCCTCCCCGCGAGTCCCTCCCTCCGCACCAGCGCCCCTTCTGAGTTCCCAAAGCAGAGGGCTGGGGGCGGGTACAGGGGAAAGAGCCTGTCTCGAATCCCCGCCCACCGGCCCTTTATAGGCAAGGGTCTGCGCGGCGGAGGACCCCCGGGCTGCGCTTCTGGTGGCAGCTGCCGCCTCCTTGGTTCTCTGGGCCGCCGTCTTCTTCCCTCCTGCCTCGGGAAGGGGAGGGCACTCAGAGGCTTGGCGGGAAAAAGGACTTGGGGGGTGGAGGAATACTGCACATATAAAAGCCAGTTTTCTGGGCTTTATCTGACTCGCTGTAGTAATTCCAGCGAGAGGCAGAGGGAGCGGGCGGACCCGTCAGGGTTGCAGAGCGGAGAGAGCCGAGCGAGCCAGGCGAGCGGAGTCGCGCTCCGGGCGCCCAGGGCAGGGAGAGGATCCAGAGTGAAAGGAAGGCTTCGCCGCCGGCCCAGCCGCCCCCTGCCCACCCTTCCCGCCACCCTCTGCCGGCGATCCGCACGCCCCGCCGCATCCACGAAACTTTGCCCACTGCAGCAGGCGGGCACATTCCCCTGGAACTTACAACACCCCAGCGAGAACGCGACTCTTCGGACGCGGGGAAGCTCTTTAGCCCATTTGGGGAGACATCTCCCCGCCCCTGCTACGACCCGCTCCTCTGAAAGGCTCTCCTTGCACCTTTCTGGACGCTGGATTTCCTTCGGATAGTGGGAAACCCGGTAAGCACCCGGATTTATTTGCCTTTTATTTTTTTTTTCTACCGCTTATTGCCGCGATGAGTCGAATGCCCGAAACGGGGGCTTTTCTCCTATTCCTGCGCTATTGACACTTCTCAGTCTAGTTGGGGTGGGGTGGGGACGAAGCAGAACAGAATCGGGGTAGAGTGTGACTTGTCAAGACGGGAAGGTAGAAAACAGAGGGGAAATGGGGGTGCGTTTTTAAAACTGGGCTTTGGAGATTTTTGCCGATGAATATTGACGCAGAGCCG